TTCTTTCATCAGTGTTTTATAGTTTTCAGAGTACAGGTCTTTCACCTCCTTGGTTAAGTGTATTCTTAGGTATTTTATTCTTTTTGGTGCAATTATGTTTTATTTACTTTTTCTTTCTAGAAATTTTCCTTATTATTCAAATATGCTGACCTGTCTTCTATTTCCTTAAACACAGAAAATGTGTTCAAGTAATTCCATAATCTGAAGTCTTTGGGTATTTACTCCTGAGGTTTCTTTCACAATTCCTTGCTTCTTTGTGTGCTTGGTAATTCTGTACTATGAGCTGCTCGTTTTTCTGGAAAATTATCTAGAAAACCATCTGGGAGTTCTCTAAGGTCTAGGATGAAGGTGTGACCCTCCAAAGAGGATATATTTTGTCTCTGCCTGGCGCCCGGAGGCAGTACTAGTTTGAGACTCCTCTAAATGGCTTGACTTTATTGAGCCACTGAGGTGATGTGATCTCAGCTTCAGGTCCTCAAGTGCAATTTGTGGTTAGAGGTTTATTTTCCTACATTGGTCTTCCTAACACCAAGGGAACTCTCCTTACAGTTTCCTAGTGCTTCTAGAACATTTTTACCTGAGGTATAGTTCTTTGTAGAGCCCGGCTTTATTGGGGAGAGGTTGGGAAGGGAAGGGGATAGTCTCCTATTAAACGTGGGCTGGTGCTGACCTTGGACTCCTATCTCCCTCACCATAAAAGGATATAAAAACCAAAACTTAGGTTTCCCGAATTTGCCAAATGGCTTCTCAGCTTCAGTGTACTACCCACCTCTGCAGGCTGCTTCTTGCAGTGAGATGTTGACCTGGTATATCTTGCCATCTTGCAGCTCTTTGTTGCTTTACACCTGGGCTTCCTCTGTCTGCCCTGGACAAATCAGAAGCTGTTTTTTCCTGCCCTTTTGAGTGATATGATTTGGTCTCCTTGCTGTCCAGTAACTTCAGTCGTTTGTGTCTTACTATTGAGGAGTCGAATTTATTTCTACCAGGGAAACGGTGCCCTTCTAATCCATAGATTTTGACCCTCTTTATTTCAGGGAAGTTTTTATAAAATAAATGTGGGTATTTCTTCTATCTTTACTCAGATCCCTTAAGTGACACCATGTTGTGTCACCTTTGCTGTGGTCTTTTACTGTGGAACTTGTCATCTCCCTCAGCTAGGACCCTCACAGCCCTGTGTTCGGTACTGTTTTCATCCTTGGTTTTCATGGTTTTATTTGAGTTTTGCTGCCTCTGTTTTTCATTTCTGCAGATAGACATTTTTGCAGGGTGGGTTCTTCGCTTGCCTTCCTTTTCCTAGGGTGTCCAACTCCTCCTTAAATGTGGACAGTTCTTCCTGGAAAACCAGTCACCAGACAGCTGGGGGAAGGGCCAGACCAGTGCTCAAGGCTCTGAGGGAAGAGGGGTCTGGCCTTCCCTGCTCCCAGCAAGGACTCTGTGGGCCCTGGCCCTGCTCCAGGCTGGCACGGGTGGCTGGGCCTGTCTACACTGCTGCTTGTTCAGCCCGGACATAGCATGGTATCTGCTTACTCCTCACACCTGTTTCAAGCAAGGGGGGCTGGATTTCCCCTCTCCACTGTCAGGCTGGCCATGGCAGGCATTCTCTCCCTTCTCATGACCTTTCTTCACCCTGGCCTGCTGGACACTTCGCCTCCTTTTTATATGTTTGTTTGGGGTTGTAAATTTTTCTCAAAGATAGAGTATTACTCCTTTATGTGCATTTTCTGTACTGTTTTCAGGTAGTCTCAGAAAGAAGGGTCAAGGTCATCTTACAGACAGGTGTTAGTGTGTTCTTTTAAGAGAGCTGATGTGTCGAGACCTCTGCTTTTCTGAAGCAACAATAAAAAGAAATTGCCGCATTTCCCTGAGAACTGGTTATCCTTGGAGTTCTCTTAAAGTGTATTCCTCACAGAGCCAGACAGAGGCTGAGTATGGATGGTGAGGCTGATGGCACCCCGGCCTTGCGTAGCCCGTCGGGGATACCCGAGGCGTTGCTGGCATTTTCCCGTGAAAACATCTGATCTTCCTGTGGAGAGGTCTCCGATAAGCAGGACGCATTTACTCTCGCTTACAGAGGTAAATAATGGTTGATGGTGGTGGTCAAGGCAGAGGACTCTATTTGGATTTAAAAATGTATTCTCAACCCTCTAAAAACTTTGAACTATGCAACTGCTGCTAAAACGTGAGCAGAACATGGACAAGTGAGACAGTTCTATGTAATGGTGGATCTCGATTTTCCTCCAATATCTGGAAGTTGAAAAGGGAGAGAAATGGGGGTTTGAATTCCTGATTTTAATCGGTCTACAGGAATATTTATTGAGTATGAACAATCTGGCCTGGAGTCCTTTCTCCACTCCATTCTGAGGACTCTTTGTGGCCAGGCTGGACTTTTCTTGGAAACCGAGGTTTACAAAGGCAGCATGAAAAGTGATGTCTGACAGGGTGTGTAGGACTCTTGCCCCTTCCTGCAAGGTCATGGCCTGTGCAGCTAGGGTTTCCTCCCACCTGTTTGTAGGCTTCCCATCGCCATGCCTGATATCTGAGAAGGGAGGATGCATCATCTTTCACTAACTTCACATTCGGGTCTGGCAGGAAGTAGACATGTCACCCTAGGCAGCATCTGCGAGTGTGACCGGTTTCACAGTGGATCGGTGCCTTGCGGATCCCAGGGTTTGATGTCAGAACTTTCGATCAGCATTTCCATGGTTTGGGCTTTGGTCACTATGGTGACCGTACAATTTATCCTTTAAACCGGGACATAGCTGAGAGAGTGGTGATTAATAATTAAACAGGGCCATAAACATAAATTGCAAATGTCCCAAACAAACTAGAATGAATGGCCAAGCTACCTATCTCCTGAGTTTCCGTGATAAATCCAAACATATTATGATACATTATAACACGGATCTCACTTTTTCTCCACTGCAATAAAAACCTGACATTATCTTTATTACCAAGACCAGATACTTATTCATTCTTAGCAGCAAAACTAGTATCATTTAGTAATGAATCATTTAAACCTCAAAGCCTTTCAGTTTTATAGGTGCACACATTCATTTTTACATCACACACTAATATCTTGCTCATAGTCTTCTGCCCTCTTCCAGGAAATGGAGCTTGATTTACTCCCATAGTTTATTACCCGAAGTTTGTTGGTAGGATTGCGGTACCTTTAGATGGTAAATTCGCTCCCCAATAGCTGTAGGATAGCTTACACATACTCATTGGACCCTGTGAGCCAGGACCTGCACAGAGAGCTTTCCAGATAATAGCTCTGTCCTCACATCAACCTCCTGAGGAAGGTCCTATTAGCACCCCCTCTACAACTTAGAGGCTAAGTAACCCTTGTGTTTGTGCAGAGCCTGGTTGAATATCCAAACAGCCCATCCTCAGGACACAGCCTCACAGGCACATTAGATGGTCTTTATGCCTACTTAAGGCATTTGCTCTGTGTTGTTTCCTTTAATAAGAACTGGTATAGAAATGTCTCTTTGAAGTCTGTCCCTTGGTCAGTGGCCCGTTGCTCCTTGTTTCAACTTGGCATATTTTCCATACAGCTGTGGTTTCCAGACTTGCTTCCTCTGCTTACAAAGATATGTTCAATGGTGATTATACACGTTTGCATTCTTTCAACTGAGCTCCATTTGCGGAGGAAATGTAATTTTAGTGGGGTAAGTACTGTGAGAAATTCAAGTCAAGTGTTTCAAAATCCTCTTGAGTGGTCTTGGAAGTATGGAATAGCGCGTCCTGTGCCAGAGAGGTAGAACATCTTCTTACTAGGACATCCTGTCTTCCTTGAGGTTTTGGCGCCATTTCCTACAGACCTGCCCTGCATTCGTGAGGGCTTCTAGGCTCCAAGGACCAGAGAAGGCAGTGTCTTGGCACCTGTGTTCACCGTGGGCCAAGAGGAGAACACGGTCAACACTTAACTGACTTCCCACCCCAGGTCCCACTCTGCACCCCCTCTTCTTAGGGTAGCTGGGGGAGGGGCCCCTGAAACAAGTGACTTGTGGTTTTACTGTTGTTTGTTGCTTTTTTTTTTTAAGATTTTATTTATTAGAGCACAAGCAGGGGGAGTAGCAGCTGAGCAGGGAGCCCGATGCGGGACTCGATCCCAGGACCCCGGGATCATGACCTGAGCCGAAGGCAAATGCTTAACCTACTGAGTCCCTCAGGCGCCCTCCTGTGCATCATTTTATGTAGTCTACGTAACAATGCTCTGAGATAGGCCCTTTTTCTCCTATTTTAAGGAGGGAGAAATTGAGGTTTAGGCCTATCAAGTGACCGGCACAGTCCCAAGGCATTGGTGTTTAGATAAAGCCCAGTGTAGAATCACTCCCAAGTTCATGCTCTGGTCCATGTGACCTTTCCATTAGCTTCCTTAGAGAGTTACACTTGTCCCTCAAAACACGTTCTTTGGTTTTCTTCCTGGTTGTCATTTTCTATGTGAGTTTGTGATTCTTTGAACTAAGTATTTTGGTAGAAGAATTTTGGTGCATTTCACTCAGCCATCTGGATCATCACTGGGTATACGGACACCACAGTGGTGGAGGAAAGATGATTACTTGTGTTGGCAAATTCATTCGCAGTTGAAGGAATTCTGTTACACAATTCTGGAAGATTCGGATTTTTACCAACCTCTCAATTTTAGGCCTTTACAAATCGAAAGGAAGCTTAAAGACACAGGGAAGCTTACATCCTCCAGGTGGCACTGGCCCAGAAATGCCAGTGTCCACTGTATCCCAAGACCTGTGACCAGTGTGCCATCTGGAGCCCCTCCTTTGAGTGTAACTATGTGAGCCTATTGAGACACCTGTTAAATGTTAGAGAAAATGTTGGCAAGAAGATTAACAAAGGTCAACCAGCTTGTATGGCGAGAGGATGCGTTCAGAAAGTTGTTTACTCCTACCACTTTGCAGGGGACTCTGGTGGCTCCTGAGGTCAGGTTCTGGTCACAGCTCACAGAGATGGGTGATCACACATAATCTTGTGGTTTGTTGCAGGGAACTCGTAAGCCAAGCCCTCCTCAGAAGCCTCTGCCTGCAGATCCTTTGAACAAGACCAGCCGGCTCGCCAGCGCCTCAGCCAGGACCCTGGGACAGCAGGAGGCTGAGCGGCTCCACCTGGTGCCCCTCAGGTCGGTGTAACAGCCCAGCCCATCGCTTTCTCCCCAGAACCGTGTGGGGCAGCCGCACCGACCTGTGCTTTCCCTGCCCTGTCAGGACGTGGGCCCAGTAGTCTAAGGCCAGGCTTCCTATACCCCAGTACCTGGGAACAGCATAAAGGAGTTGCCGAAGCAGACAGGAGCATTAGCAGGAGGCAGTCACAAGCCTATAATCCCTGGAATCACCCAGTGGCTCTTGGCAAGAGCCCCAGTGTCCCAAGAGAAACCAGGATCAAGTAGTCCTAGATCGTGTGTCTGGGAAACCAGTGACTCTTGAGATGGGCCAGCCCCATCCCCCAAAAAGATGAAGACGAACAGCTACAAAGTGCTGTGATCCTATGAAGACTGAACATACCTCCAAAACCATCGGAAACCTTCATAAACTCTGCCCCATCCCTGGGGTCCTGAGAAAGGAGGTGAGGTGTGTCGGGGGGAGTCACATATGAATGAGGGAGGTGAGGTGAGGAGTTAGTTCCTGAACACTTGGTACAATGGGGAGCTTCTCCATCCAACTAACAAAAGGAATCTCCTTTTTGAGACTGTTCCCCAGCCGTGGTCATCGCTTACCCTATCCCACAGGATGAGGAAGGGATGGCACGCCGGCTGTGGGCCAGGGCTGGTCCATGCTGGTTTTCGAGAGCCATTCAATTTCCAGGAATTTTGCAAGCTAGGTGTTAAACCGAGCCACTATTACATAAACGCCTACTGAGACAAGTTATGTGAAAAACATAAAAGCCTCAAAACCCCTTTTTTACCTTTTACCGTTACCTATGTTCTGGAGGTTACACACGGCTATTTCTGTATGGTGGAAATGCCATGGAAGGTGGCCGGCTCACACAGCCGGAGGATTTACACCCTGGAAACAGACAAAGGCTACAGGTTGGCCCCCCTCGCTCCCCACAATGGGTAGGTTACACCTGCAGCCAAAACACCCTTCTGACACGCATACCCCCTTGGCAGGAAGCTTGCTGTAGGAGCTCGAAAGAACCAAAGGTAGGCTGTTGGCCAGGCCCTGGGCTCAGTAATTCAGTGTCTCCAGCGGGGAAGAGACACATTCGTGATGTCATTACAGCTTTGGGGAAAAATGTTTGGCCTGTGAGAGAGCGAGCGGCCTCATAAATCCCAGAGATAACACGGGTCAAGGGGGCAGAACAGTGGTTTCATTCCCGACTGCATAAATACAGAAAGATTGCAGAGCATCCTAATTATTTCACTGTGGTTTGTATGCCGGTCTTAAAGTTACTTTTCTTGTTCAAAAGAAAAAGCACTGCTTTACATGGACACGAGGGGAAGGCACTCTTTTTAAATGCCATCAAGCTGTGGCCCGTCGTCCCCTCTGCCGGCCGCTGACTCCGGTGCGAGCTGGTGTTGGTCTTGCTCTCGAAGGAGAAGAATTCGTTTTTGAGGGATCCCACGTGCCCCGGCTCTGCTCCCCAGACGTGCCCGGGCTGATCCGGTTGCCGAAACGACACATCCCGTCAGTGTAGACGCACGCGGGATGGGGACCACTTAGGGCCCCACATGCCAAGTCGCGCGGGGGCTTTTCCCGTTGATGACAGCCCCACGGACACGTACAGCTACGATGCGTGTGCGGAGTTCAGTGAAACTCTTCACTAAACTGTGTCCCCTCTAGGTTTTGCTTTTTCTCACGTGGCTCCTAGAAAAGGTTCGATGACCTACGTGGCTCCCATCTTTTCTAGTGAGTGGGCACGGTTCTAGAGTCAGCTCGTGGAGAGGAGGTGGGGCTCTGGCGAGGGTTCCTCTCGTGGCCAGGGGCATAAGCCACCAGCAGTCTCCCCGAGGGGACCCGCAACCCTGCCACATGCCAGAGCCGTCTCCGGCCCTCAGCACCGGGGGTGGGGGCTGATCCTGAAGGCGCAGCCAAGGGCGGGGAAGGACCCCGACCGCAGACGTCTGCACCCGCAGAAGCCGCTTTCAGGGGCTCCGCCTACACCTTTGTGACAGTTTTGTTTTCTCTTGCCGCAGACCCGCTCCTAAACACCCCCATCAAGCGCCCAGACCCCCCCACGCCGCCTACACCAAGTGAGAAGCAAGTCGACACCTTTTTTCCGACAGTGAAGACAGAAGTTTGCACTATCGTTCAACTCCAGTTGGAGTTCGTTTTTTGTACCAACTTTTAGGATTTTTTTTTAATGTTTAAAACACCATTATTCTCCGAACTTCGAGCTACTGCCGCTGGTGCTGTGCTATGGTGCTCTGTATACTTGCTCAGGTACTTGTAAATTATTAATTTATGCGAAATGCTGGCTACAGCGCGGTGCGCTGTGGGAGGCATTTTTACCATCACTGAGTTTTCCAGGGAAGGAAGGCTTGTGTGCTTTCAGTAGTTAGTGAACTTGAAATAGCTTGCTTTATGGGATTCTGGACAGGAGGTTGACTTTCTGATCGAGGCTTTTTTGGCAGAACGGTTCCCCAACTATCCACGGCTGTGGTTATGGCGCAGACCCAGCTCAGGAGACCCCAGGTAGAACCTTGAGTGATTCCCTGGGACCCCTGATCTCAGCCCAGAGCCAGGGCCTTCAAGTCCAGGCTGGGCTGGGCTTTCTGTGAGCCCGGGCCTCAGCCCACCAGCAGCCACACCTTGAAGCTCCAGGACAGGAAGGAAGGCTCTGGCTTCTGACCAGGACGGTCTGGAGAGAACCTGAGTAGCAGAAAGGAATTTTAAGGTGTGGCCACACCAGGGCAGAAACTTGACCTTGAGCTCGCAGGCTGCGAGCACATTTGAGGAGCAGGCCAAGACCGTTGCTTTACAGAAACACTGCCCTTCCCACCATGCTGGCCTCGGACCTTATTTAGATGGGGAAGGGGGGCGTTTGTACAAGCAGGCTACTGCCCAGGCACTGCAAACCCCCGGCCCGCTGTACTGTTCGGAGCTGAGCAAATTACAGTACAAGGATTCTGCGTTCAGACAGACAGAGGCGGCTTTCCATGGGACCATAACTATTTTCAGATGTGAACCAGTAACCAGATCTAGTGAATCAATGCTGTAGATAAAAATTAGGCAGACTCCCTCTGCCCACAAAAACTATAACCAAATGGAACCCCGTGTGGCAGGCAGAGTCTGCCATCCAAGTTACTAGTCCGTTATTTAGGGGGCGTTCTATGTTCCCAGCTTGGCTGTGGCAATCTCTGAAAGATATTTTTAGCATAAGATCTGAATCCTTTTTTTAAACCCTCACAACCTACCTGTTGAGCGTCGCAGAATGTGATAAGGAAATCAATTTCCTAATCCTAAATATGCATGAAATGCGGTCCTGGGTAGCAGCCCCTTCAACCTTTTACTCTTCCAATGTCTGACTGGGGAGCCGTTTTCACAAGATCCTGAAACTGCCTGCACCAATGGCATGGAAATTACAAAAATACTCACACAAGGTAAAATGCCATTATGCCTCTGCCTTCTAGTAGGGTCATATGGGACTCGTTTTCACATTAGAAGGCAGTTGACAACAGTTCCGTAATTCACTGAGTGTTTTATGATAAAGACTTCAGCTGGGGTCATTTCAACGGTTTTCCTATGCCTCGAAGCAGAGACAAAATATACCAAGAATCGGTTTGCCTTCCGGAAAACAAGACTGCATTGAACTCTCCCGGTGTCCTCCACTGTATCTAGGCAACATAGTATTCATGATCGCAGATAAACTGAATAAATCCATGTCACAAACACACAAAAGGGAGCCCAGTTCTACTACATTCCATCATACAATTCTTAATTGCTTGAAAAGGCAAAGCCATGTTAGAAGGTATTACTGTTGTCGAATACCTACAGAATTACTGTAACTGAGAGTACATTTGGCAACTGTATCAAGGCCAAAACACATGCTGTTGAAAGTTTACAGAATTTTTATGGTGCATTATGTGGGTATTATCTTTACAGATGCCCAGATCTTTAGATCTGTCATTTTAGCCCCTCCTCCTATTGTGAGGAAGAGGATGTGAAGTTTGTCTTTTGTCTTTTTTTTTTTTTTTTTAAATCCTTAGCTAGAATTCCTGTGCTTCCATTTCAGAGAACCAGGAATATTTTGGTATTAAAAAAGGTTAACGCTGTGATCTTACACCATGTCATGGATGACACATTCCTATCTCTACAGTACAGATTGCATTTACAGAGCCTTGCAAGTTATTTCTGGATAAGAACATGTTTAAACCTAACATCCCCTGACCAATATGCAGATATTAAAGGAACAATACTTCCAAGATGCAGAACCTATCAAATGAAGCATTTTAGCAATAAGCTCCATTTTAATATAACTTAGGAAAAGAGCCAGGGGTTTTTTTTTTGGGGGGGGGGGGGGAAGGTGTACCTCTCCCTTTTTATATCGTTATAGATGTGAAAACAAAAAAATCAATACTTATATTTCCATGGCAGTCCATTTTTAATATTTTTAAAGGTTCTATAGGCGTGCATAAGGGTTGGCTTGAGTTAATAAGGCCATCACTGAGAAATTTAACATGTCTAGACCCAAAATAGGCCCTGAGGGTAGTCACTTTTTTCTTCCCCCTGTCTTGTTACAGTTGTAGGTTACATGACCCCACTTACTGGGAAGTATAGGGCTAATTTTCCAGGCATGCTCTTTAAAAGTTTATCTCCTGAATTTTTTGGTAACAGTTTGTTTTCCTGACACATGGAATCAGATGTGTAGCAACCAAGAGAAACAATGCATAACATTTTCCATTGTCCAAATATGCATACAGAGGTTACACTTCCCAGTGTGAATTTTTCCAGCTTACACATGTGGGATGACATCACAGAAACCACAAAAGCAACAAATTAAACTACATGAGCATAAATACTCCTGACTGGTCTCAGAGGAGACATTTTTTATGCCTTCTTAACTTTATTACGAATTCTCAGGCTGAAACCATAGGCCATTGTTCTCCCGCAAATCCATACAACACAATCGCTGTATCCCCTCAAAGAGAAACAGCAAAAACTCTGATCCATGTGAAGCTGCTCTTAGGAGCCTGTGATCTCCCCTGGTGCTGCAGAGAGCCTGGTGCTGGGCCAGCTAGAACGCCCGAGCACCTTCCTGCCATCTCTCAGTTGATGTTTACTAAGCATTCTGAGCCAATACGACCCTGACAATTAAAAGGGCAAGATGCCTGGGCAGCTGGGCTGGATCTTTCTCACGAAACCTGACCCCTTGGCAGTCTTTCCTCATGAGGCTGATTTCATTGAGAACTTCTGCAACGGAGGGCTCCCTTCAGTGTTCTGGAAGCAGCAAGCCCAGGGCAGACTCGCTCTGGAGCTCCTTCCTCCCTGCCATCAGTAGGACCCCAGCTAGCCACAAGTGACCCAGATAAACAGGATACCAACCCTCCCCAGAAGTCTCACGGTGCCGTGCTGACCCCCAGATGGGACTTCACACGCTATGGCTGACTGGTGGGAGACACTGCAGCTGCCATCTTTTGTCCTCCCCACCACCCCAGAGGCCTGCCCCAGGCTGCTACAGTCACTCCCCCCATGACTCAGGAACATACACACGTCGGACACAAGCAGCTGAGGCTAGTACGTCTGCCTCTTAGCACCCAGAGGCCGGTCCCTTTTCCACACCAAACCTAGTGCCGATGCCCCTCCGTGTGACAAATCTCTGCCTTCAGAGCTCCTGTAGGTCAGCCCGAGTGGGGGCTGGGGCAGGGTGTGGCTACCCCACCAGCCCAGCCACTGGACGCACAAAGCCCACCCTTCTCCAGAGTGGCGGCTCAGAACAAGCCCACCAGCGACGCCCCAGCTTTGAATCCAGCAGAGCGCTTCCCACAGGCACATCACCCCCACCCCCAGAAAATCAGTTCATCTCCGATGGCACAATTCTCTTGACTCACTCTACAGTTTCTGTTGACATCTCTTCCTCGAAAACCTATTTGGAAACTCGGATAGTGATACAAGTTACACACCAGGAAAGGTCAGTGAGCCCCAGGCTAAGAACCATTTCTGTGCAGTGAGGATGCTTCCAGAAGCCATTTACCTACACACGGATGGAAATCCCCTCCTTACTCTTGGGACAGAACTAGCAGCTGACAGTCCAGCCCTAAGAGCCTGTTGCATAGGAGAAAAACTAGGAGACAAAATACTGCATATAAAATTGTTATAACATTCAATAATGGGTAGTGATAGCCTGGAGATTTACCGCACAGTGAAAGGAATTCTCAGTGAGCCTCAGCTCTTCCAGGTCAAAGAGTCGAATAGTCTGGAACCCATCCTGATTTTCCACATCATCAGCAAAAAACCTGTCTTACGCTCCCCCTGTGAGTTTCCTTCCAGAAAATAATTTATTCAGTCCTCAATTTAAGCGCAGTTTAAATCCAGACAAAATAATAAATAGCTTGTGATTTTTTCAGTTTCACAAAGAAGCAGAATGACATCCAAGTTCATGGCCTATAAGCAAGCATGTAAGTAGGGCAATGATAGAAAAAAAAAGTATCAAATTAGAAAGACAGAAAATCCTCTAAGAGTCCAAGGCAAGACGAGGAATGGCAGACCTTCTATCAGGTTGAATTGGGAGGTTGTGGGGAAGACCCATGGTTTGAGCGTGTCTGGCAACTGTTAAGTAAAACTCTTGAACACTAAGCTGCAGGCCACTCAGCACAGCACACTTACAGCTACGAAATAGACCAGTTCCTTAAGTTCATCGTGCTTCGTCCGTTTATAATGCTTCAGTCGGCTGTTTTTTTTTCCACATACCTTTCACGTTACAGTCTGTTGCTTTTGTACACATTTCTCATATTGGGGTTCTACAGGTAACAACCTGCTATTTCCGTAGAGAAAGCCATTAAGAATATTATATCCAATAAATGGTATCCAGGTAAATATAAAGACGTGTCTCGTTCATTACTGACAATGTCACAAAAATGGGGAAAGGAAAACCCCTTATCTGTATTCTCACCCATTTATAGAGGCACAGGGAAGATCTGGAACAGTCCATAAGAAACTAAAAAGAGTGGTGGTCAGGGGTCAGGTGCTGTCAGTCCACACAAACCAGTCAGATGATGGCACAAGAAAGAAGGTGTCTCTTAACATGCGTGGGGGGGGGGGGGGGAGGAGTCAGGGAAGGGGGACCAGATACTTGTTTTGAACAATGTAAATGTATAACCTATCCAAATCTTTTTTTTTTTTTTGAAAACTCACCTTATTTACAAAAGAGAAATTCAAAAAAGCATGCGGGGTAGAAACATGGACATCAGATTTCTCCAGAATGAAAATCTGAGTGTAGTAGAAATTTTTAGATTTTTGAGAAACAATCCAATTTCATAAAGAACTACAGAAAATACAAAGAAAAATAGATATACAGAATGGTAACAAGGGGTCTTTATTCTTACCACCTTCTACCCATATCAAAGCAAGTAGGCAGAAAACAAGTACCTAGAAGACCCCAATTAATAACATACTATATGTTGGCTAAATGAACATAATAAAAAAAATAATCAAAATGGATATGTATCAAATTGAGATACTTCAAACATACAGAATATGCCTTCTTTCAAAGTGCCTCTGAAAAAGAAAGCTATATACACAGACTATATGTCAAACTATATATAAAACTAAACTATATATATAACTATTATATATAACTGTATAGATAACTATTATATATAACTATATAGGTATAACTATTATATATATATATAATTTTATATATTAAGCCACAAAGTAAAACTCAAATTCCAAATGGTACAACAAACCATAGGTTGTGTCTTTGGGGAAATTAAAACACAAGTCAAATCACTAATCTCACTAAGGAAAAAGATGAAAAGCACATACACAAAGCATAGGAACATCTAGAATCCAACAGTCCACTGTAAATCAGTGAGAGGTCTCAGGAATATAAGGATGGTTCAATATTTTTAAATCTACTTATTCAAGTCACCGAATTGACAGATTTTCAGGAAATATGCCATATTAGGATTACCAGGGACACTGAAAAGACATTTGAGAAAACTCAGTATCTATTCCTGAGTTTTTAAAGATCTGAAGAAGGCCGGAAACCACAGGACTCGAGAGATGCGAACATCATTTGTGGAAAATTGAACTCACCTATGGCAAGATCTTATAGGCAGTCATTTTTTGCTAAATTGCACTGCAATAGCAAACCACAAGAGGATTATTTCTTACTCACATCCGGGGGTAAACTCTAACTCTGGCTCTTCCTTGGGGCCCTGGGCTGATGGAGTACCTGCTCCTGAGTCACAGCTGGTCTTGTGGCAGAAGGAAGTGAGATGTGGGGATTTGTAAAACTTCCGCCCAGAAGGGCAGGAGCCATTTCCATTACCATTTCATTGACCAAAGTCATCCCACTGTATGGCCAAGGCTTCTGTCAGGAGGATGGGAGGACGTCTCCAGGATTTTGTCAATGAGAAGGGGCATGTGCTCTTGCCACAGATGGGGCTCGTGAACAGGATCTACAACAGACTGAGAAATGAACTGAAGATGAAGGTCAACATTGATCATGGGGGGAAAAGGGCTGTGAGACGTTGTGACTACACTCCGATTTGGAGAGAGATTTAAAAAGTTAATCTAGCAAATTTAAAGGAATATGCATTCGTACAAAAGGTAAAACACTCATGAAATGTGTAAAGAGAGGACAGTCTATGACCCACAGACCCAGTTCCTGAGGTGGATGTTCTAGAAACTACGGAATAAAGCTGAGAATTGCCAACATCAATAAAATCAACTGTGCTTTGTCTCTGTGCCCTTTCCCCAAAGCTTTGGAGCTTTAATTACCTTTTAATCGGGCTTTACCTTACAGAGAAAATTCCACTCCCATGCAGACCTTGGTAGCTAGTCTTCTCCTCGGGCCGAGTTAACCTGCTTCTCTCTGGAGACACAAAATGCATGTGGTCTCCTCGCTCACTTGGCTCACGTTCACGCGCATCTGCTGAGTTCAAGCTCCCGCACACGTGTGTCTAAGCTCCCAACCAGCAGACCTAGCTGTGGTTAATGCCTACTTGTCTTCCAACTAACTGTGTGGTCAGCATCGAAAACCCTTCTGCTCTGGACGCTGACTTTAATATACTTCTCTTTGGCATGGTCGTCAACATGCCAGCAGGCTGGGTCTTTCATTGTCAGGGCATACGGATATGCAAACACATTCTCAGGTCTGTTCTAGAAAGATTGATCCTCCATCAGACACCTCTAAAAGAGTGGAATCGGAGTCTTGAAATACGTTTTTGTTTTTGTTTTTGTTTTTTTTACTTTGATGTGAGCCCAACAGCTGAGGAGAAAACCGTTCACGTGGCCTCCTGGGCTTCCAGGAGCGTCACTCCAGAAGGGAATAGCGGCCTGACAGCAGGGCCTGGAAGGCCTGAAGTCGGGAAGGGAGGTCATAATTGAAAACACATGAGGGGAAGAATTTCCACAAGGTCCCAGAGTGGCTCAGCGGACAGCTCGGGGGCAGGAGCGGGAAGTGGGAGATCCGTGTCTGTCTGTGCAGCTCCAGGACATAAATATCTGGATTTGCGTCTAACTCCAAAAGGCGCAAGTGCAAGAAAACATCCCCACGCGGCAGACACCCAATGACGACCCCACAGGCACACGCGCTTAGGTAAAAAAAGAAGATGTATTTCAAAGTGGGAACAGTTGTACGTCACAAAATTCACTGTGAATCTTCAACTAAATAAATAATCAAATGTATAGCCTCAAAAGACGCGGAGTTTCATCTCTAGCTCAACGGTCGGGTTTTGACGTTGTTTCTCTTAGGCTTTCAAAGTCAGTAGCGCCCTGGTCAGCAGACAGACTACTTCTTTGCCATTTGGGTTCTTTTCCTTTCTTCTAATAAGGAGACCACATTCTAGATAAACAAAAACAGGTGAATGTCATCCAAGGTTTGTGGTTATTTTAAAGTACCATAAAATTAGCCTCAAAAATCCAAAAGAATATTCCAACCTGTCTGTCAAAAACTCTGGCCATTTCTAGGACACCTTTGCCGAACTGAAAGTGAAAACAATAAAAATTACATGTATATAATAATATACAACATATATATGTATGTGTGTGTGTGTGTGTTCTTTCTCCTCCTCCAGGAAAAGGCTTTAGATAAAGATTGAGCTCCTTACCTCATTTTTTACACTTGCATCTGCTCCTTTGTCAAGAAGTAACTGGACTAACTCCTCGTGATTATTTAACACGGCCACCTAAGAAACAAAAGACAGTGGGGTGTGAGCGAGTCTGCCTTCCCCACAGAGGACGAGGCCAGTGGCCAGGGTGGACCCCATGCAGGTGGGCCTGCGGAAATCGCCCAGAGGCTTTCTCAAGAAGGCAGAGCCAGCCAGGACCACTGTGGCCTCGCAGGACAGACACATGCTCTCACTCTGCAGCGAGGCTGAGGGCAAGGGAAACGGAAGCGGAGTCTGCCTTCCTCTCCACTACAATGACATGAGAAACGCTAGGCCAGGCCAGCCCAAGAAAGCAGCGTGTTCTCTGTTGAACAGATCTGTTTAGGATGCTACAATGGCCTGGGGGCCTGGGGCTGGTAATCCTTAAAGAAATAGTTGTAAAAAGAACAAAAATATTGTAGTGACATTGTCATGCCTTTATTAACAGGCCAGTGGGAAATATATAGACAGCCAAAACCCAGGGCTCATACACAGCTGAATTCACAAGAATTGCCTAATTATAGAAGCAGCTCTGACCTTAATCCCACACACAAAGCCGGGCTGTGCTCTGCAGGGAGGCGTACCATGAGCGGGGTCTTTCCATCTTTATCTCTCATGTTCACGTCTGCTCCAGCTTCGATCAGCACGGAGGCTGCACTCCGGTTTCCAGAGACTGCAGAGACTCTCATGAGTGGGGTCCATCCTGAGCCTGTGTCCACAGCGTCTACCTTTATGCCAGAGGAAGAGCTGCTCTTAGTCCAGTGTCTTTTTCCTTAAAAATATTCATCAGAAACTTACAAAGGAACATTCACTTGCGCAAATGCCCCTGAGTTGGATAGCCCATAAGGATTGCGACTTGGTAAATAGGGATCCAGGGAACTGTGCTAAAGTAACATTCACATGCAGTGAGATGCTGTGTTAGGACTTTATAGGGTGCTGAGAGGCCCTAGGACATCCCACTGGCATCTTCATCTACATTTGGTTCAAAGGGTTGAAAGATGGGGGCGTCTGGGTGGCTCAGTCGGTTAAGCGTCTGCCTTCAGCTCAGGTCATGATCCCAGGGTCCTGGGATCAAGCCCTGCGTCAGGATCCCTGCTCAGCGGGGAGTCTGCTTCTCCTCCTCTCGCCCCGCCCCTGCCTCTGCTTGTGCACTCTCTCTCTCTCTCAAATAAATAAAATCTTAAAAAAAAAAATGGTTGAGGGCACCTGGGTGGCTCAGTTGGTTAAGCGACTGCCTTCAGCTCAGGTCATGATCCTGGAGTCCCGGGATCGAGTCCCACATCGGGCTCCCTGCTCGGCAGGGAGTCTGCCTCTCTCTCTGACCCTCCCCCCTCTCATGCTATCTCATTCTCTCTCTCAAATAAATAAATAAATAAATAAAATCTTTTAAAAAAAAAAAGGTTGAAAGACGGGATAGATAAGTAAGTATCTCTGTAAGCAGCTTTAAATCCCTTCTGGAACAAGACAGTAATATATATACACACCCTTATACCTATCAATATGGATTAATTTTAAGCAGGAGAACTACAAGTAGAATCAACACAAAGCAACCAGCTTTACTACATAAATTCCAATCTGAGAAGTTAACCAACCTAATACCTTCTCCAAACTTAATTTGACTCGTAATAAGATGGCCATTTCCCAATAACCCAGTGATTGAAAGCTCTCAAGGTCATATTTTAAAAGCCACATTCTAGAATATGTGAGCATTGCCTCCTCCAGTTC